ACAATTCTTCAATGGCGAGATATTCGTATCTCGCCAATTTTTTTCCCGTGTTCCATTTCTTCCATGAGCCACTGTAATTTATCCTACGATTCCGATCCTTTTAAATATACAATTAAAGAATACGCACAGATAATGATGATCATGGTCTTTTAAGTTGTAGAAATTCTACGAAATGCACAAATTTGCTTTTATATGTATTGTTGTTCCGACAATATTTTTTTATAGTGCTATGCACTCCGCGTAGCGTGAATAAAGAGTGTCCTATGGAACCAGGCACGAAGTGCTATTTTTAAAAAATCGCGATTTTTGATGGTCATAATATGAATTACAATTACTTTTAATGCAATGTCATATGCATTATAATTTGTCGACACTTAGAATTTATCATCCAAAGTTTCAATCCAGATTCAGATGCGAGAGCATCCTCATTTCATGAATGAAATCTTTAACCCTGTATAGTAATTACAGTGACTCACAAAAGAAATGCAACACGAAAAGTTTTATGAAAAGAAATTCTAGTGACTCTAACATCGATTCAGAATACCTAGTTCCTACACTCATTTTGAAGCTAATAACCTAGAGAATATTTTAAAAATCCTAAAAACTATATTAATGCGGCCATTCTAAAGAAATTGGGTGATCTACATGAATATTTTTAATTAGTGAAATTTTAACTCTAAATAGTTTTGTTACCAGGGAGAATTGATGCGGATTGACATAATAAAAAACATGCTTCTTAGAGAGAACTATACATATACCAATTTTCAGATAAATTGGTACCAAACTCGTAGAGTTATTTGCTCCCGAAGTACCAGATAAATGATTTTTTCTGCTAGCATTTATCTGGTACTCCGGGAGCAAATAACGCAACGAATTTGGTACCAATTTAGCTGAAAATTGGTATATGGATAGTTCTCTCTAAGAAGCACATTTTTTATTATGTCAATCCGCATCAATTCTCCCTGGTAACAAAACTATTTAGAGTTAAAATTTCACTAATTAAAAATATTCATGTAGATCACCCAATTTCTTTAGAATGGCCGCATTAATATAGTTTTTAGGATTTTTAAAATATTCTCTAGGTTATTAGCTTTAAAATGAGTGTAGGAACTAGGTATTCTGAATTGATGTTAGAGTCACCAGAATTTCTTTTCGTAAAACTTTTCGCGTTCCGTTTTTTCTGTGAGTCACTGTATATCTCATTATGATATTCTTATGCTACTTTCTAAAGATGTTGGAATTAAAGTAAGTAGGACGCAACATAATGGTGAGGGAGTTTGGACTGATTTAAAAAGAGAGAAGTTCTCTAGCTGTCCTAAAGATCGCTTGTGATAATTTTTACGAAAACTATTATTTAGATGTTTAAAGAGGGCATAAATTAAAGTGGTTGACAAAGGGCATTCGGGACAAAAATAAAAGGTTTCCGCTCATTACCAATACAAAACAAAGAGTTGGACTTATTGATGTGGCCAACAAACTCATTAAAAGAACATACATCAACTTTTAAGGCAATAGAAGTAAAGTCATCAATTTTTGTTAAGCACAAAAGAAATAAAAGCTATCAATTTCGTTATGGCACGAAAGGAATAAGAGCCGAAACGCAGTTAGGTAAATTTCAAAATAAATTTAATATTTATTTTATTCAATCGTCCATTGCTTAATTCTCAAACCTTCGGATAATTATTCTTTAAATACAATTTTTAGAACTACACTTGATCCGAAGTACAAACTATAAATTATTTTTAAGTATCCTCACAAGAAGGGGCATGGCTATGCTTCGATATAAAGAATCAAATTAATTATAAAGGTAAAACTAAGTCTAGCTATAATGTACAACATTAAAGGTGAATGTTAGTATAAATGTTTCTATGCTCAAAGAAATAACACACAATATGAATGTTACATTCTTTGAGATATCATTTATTAGGGAAGGCAGGTGAAAGTTTTCGTATGAATTTTCGAAGTGAATTTTATATTGATGCTACGAAGTGTGAATTTGTATAGGAATTTTTGCGGGATCTGCTTCGAGCATTACGCGACAATACATTTACTAATAATTCTTTACGTTTTTTTAATAACAATTGATAAGCGTACCAAATCGGGAACTGCACATTATTCTAAATTTCCAGCATTACGCGATTTTTATGTTACTACGACAATACTGGGCATAAGGCCTTAAGATCTGTATATTTAAAACCAGCCATGCATTCGAATTAGTATATGACAAGAAGGGAAGCGTTTTTGTATTGTTTTAATGATAATATCTTTCACCTTCGGAAACTTAGAAATCTTGATAATGCAGTCTCGTGAAGGGACATGATTATTGGCATTCTCTTCGATTTTGGATGAATCGGAGACTCTGAACCCGCCATTCAGGTATATGGAACGAAGGATTACGAGGAGTGGTTGAGATAACTTACCTCATTCCAAATCCTAAATCCTTCGATTCAGAAGAATCAGAGCTCTGGGATAGTACAGAACGCTGAACTTCTGATTCCTCGGTAGGTTTGACCGATATATTTACCTCAGTCTCCAGCGATTCACCTGAAGAATTGTCAGTAGAATTATCCCGTCCATAGGCAATTTTATATTGGGATTCTCAGAGAAATGATCTATAATCCTTCGAATTCCTCCTTCGGTAAAATTTCGAAAGAGTTGACATTATAAATTTTGATATATTTGGTTTATCTAGGCCTTTCTTTTCGAATAATCTATAACTTTTCTAGCTCTTTCGATTTGTTTCTATAGAATTTCATGTTAGGACCTGGATTCTGCTCAATAATAAAAATCATAATTCGACCTTTTGCTTTTTTCATACTACTTTATCTTTAACCATAATTTCATCAATATTTTCATCCAATGCTATATTAAAATTTCTCCAACATAAAATTTCCGTCTGTCACCATTTCATTTTTCTCATTGCATAGCATGCTTTTCATATAAGTGGGCTATGTTTTGAATATATCTGGATTTTTCTGACTCTGGTCAACGAAATTTCAGCCACATGATCTGGAGACATGAGTTTAGTGTCTTGCGTCTTATCAGAGATAGATGCAAGTTTGTGAAATATTTCTTGTATGAATCCTTGTTCCTTTTTCGGTTCACAAGAATCATTAGACGTGGTGTTAGGAGAAATTGAGAGAATATCTTGATCTCGAAGCTTCTTCTCGCTATTTTATTGCCTTTATCTCGTCCCTTCTCCTTTTTTATCTTCCAAGTCTAGGATTTCTTTATCTTCAAATATTTAGATTATGTCAGAGGTAGATGATTCTTTGACTTGAAGTTTTGCTTCCTCATTATCAATTGTATCTACTGCCTGTTCAGAGATATTAACCCAAATTCTCAGAGTAATTCTCAGCAGATAATGGAATGATAAAATGTCTTTTGTAGAATATGCAAATAACGGTTTGGATTTGCTGTTTGATTTCCTCGATGTCTTATCTTAATTTTACTCCATCAGCTTTAAGTTCAGCGTTCTCAACTTCACTCTTCTATATCTTGTTTCAACTTCACATTCTCAGCCTGAAGCCCAGTAAATCTTAGCTAAAAGCTTAGCATTTTCTTGTTCTTAATAAATCAATTCCGGATTGCATATTTGTCATCCGCTTTATGTAGGATGCGAATTTATCCAAAGTTTAATCGCATAACTAAAATTTCGTTGACCGAAGGTAGGAAAAATTTCCGATCAAAAATATGATTATAGCTGTCCACTTATTAAAATTTTGAAATATATGTCTATATGGGTCTGGTACGAAATCCCGAAGAACACAACCCTGAATTAACAACATCCCGAACCGAATGAACGGCCGAACAATCGAAATCCCGAAAGTATAGCATCACAAATGCATGGAATACCAAGATTTCGGGATGCCGTTCATTCGGGCTTTCGATCATTCGGGATGCCGTTCATTCGGGATTTCGATCATTCGTGATTCCGTTCCCTCGGGATTTCTTTTGTCGGGCTTATGAATGTTCGGGATTGTGTTCTTCGGGAATTTGAACATTACCGGTTTATATAATTGCAAATACGTACTATATTTCTTTGTGTAAGAACAGATTTGGTTTTATTAGCTAATTTAGGGGCGAAAAACATATTCTCATAGAATAGTACCCTAACTATTTCGAACTGAGTAGAGATTTTTGCTGGCTATTTTTATAAATTCCTTTAGTTTTATTAAAGGCTCCGCTAATAATTAGATTTATAATCTATTCGTATTGTTATACTTTAAAGACACCTGTCACAACTATAGCTGAGGGTTGCAATCCAAATTACGGCTATAAAAAATGGGTTGCAACCCAATTTTTTAATTGTTTCTGGTATCATTAGTTAAATTACGTTTAAACATATGGAATGGGTCCGGGTCGGCTAAATAAAAATGAATACATAATGGAGTAGCGGACGTTTAAAGGGCGGAAAAACATAAAAGGTCATGTCAGCTTCCTGAGTTTTAACTCATTAAAGGAAGTTCCTTCCCGCTGCGTCGTATTATCAAGCACCTATTTTATTTAATTACTCATCAATTTTAAGTTAATAACTTTTTACTGTTTCCATCAAACTTTCTCACCCCAAGACTAAGAATTTCGACCGATACAATATTACACATCATCTAATTTAAAAAATAATCGTTTTCTGTTTTAATTGCATCAAAATTTGGTTCAAACATTTAAGATAGTTTCTTTAAATTATTGCTCGCTCGTGAGATCAAAATCAATTAAAATTATCAGATAACACCTTAGGGTTGGGTTGCCCATTCAGTCCTGATTCGCATAAATTATTAATAATCTTCTTTTTTATTTACCATTAAAAAACTGGAGAGAATCAGAAGAGCTTTCGGATGAATTAAATAGGTCAAAACTTCCCAGAGTCGAGTCGAACTCGGGCGTGCCACAGAGCCGAACACGGGTAAGCTTCTTCTCATGTATCCTATTCATCAACTCCATATGAGATAGACAGTAAAAGGACGTTCAAAGGAGGTTACTCGTCCCACAACCTCACAGTGGCCACGATGCGCTTCCAGTTCTCTGCTATCTTCATACTTCTGATGGCAGCGTAACTTCAGATAAATATGGTTAGACAAATAACTTAATCTATCCCATAATTTTTATAATCAGCATTTTATATAAACAAACGGGAAATACGTGAGATCTTTTCATATAAATATTATGTTCTATGCTCTCAGCTTAGCAAAACTCACATTTTTTTTACAGTTATTTTGTAGGAACGCTTCCTTCGTCACTAAAGAAAATAATTTCTGCTCCAAAAATTTTCAGCGAGTTAAAGAGCATGAAGATTTACTAGTACAGAATAGGGTGAAATGTTTGTTTCATTAAATTATTTGTCTAATCATATATATCTAATTATGCTGCCATCAGAAGTATGAAGATAGCAGAGAACTGGAAGCACACTATGGTTATTGTGAGATTATGGGTCAAGTAATTCCTTTGAACATCCTTCTACTGTCTATCTCATATGGATTTGGTGAATAGGATACATGAGAAGAAGCTTATTCATGTTTGGCTCAGTGATATGTTCAAGTTTGACTCGACTCTGAAAGATTTTAATCTTATTGATAATAATAATATTTGCTTATTTTTTTACAATTATTTTATAGAAACGCTTCCTCTATCACTAAAGGAAATAATTTTCACTCCAAAAGTTTTAGCAAGTCGAAGAGTATAAAGATTTGCTAGTATAAAATAGGATAAGATATTTATTTTATTAAGTTATTTATCTAATCATATGTATTTGAAGTTATGTTATTATCAGAAGTATGAAAATAATAGAGAATCAAAAGTGTATCATGATTACTATAAGATTATAAGTCAAGTAATTTTCATATTCCTTTTATATGAAGTTGATAAATAAGATATATAAGAAAAAGCTTATTTATATTTGACTTGACTCTGAGAGATTTTAATCTTATTAATAATAATAATATTTGTTTATTTTTTTTATAATTATTTTATAAGAATGCTTCCTTCATCATTAAAGACATTAAAGAAAATAATTTTCACTTCAAAAACTTTAGCAAGTTAAAAAGTATAAAAATTTATTATTATAGAATAGAATAAGATATTTATTTTATTAAATTATTTATCTAAAAAGTTATTTAATCATCAAAAGAAAAGTATATCATAATTATTATAAGATTATAAGTTAAGTAATTTTTTTAAATATTCTTTTATTATTTATTTTATATAAAATTAATATATAAGATATATAAAAAAAGCTTATTTATATTTGACTTGATAATATATTTAAATTTGATTTAACTTCAGAAAATTTTAATCTTATTAATAATAATAATATTTACTTATTTTTTTATAGTTATTTTGTAAAAATACTTTTTCTATTATTAAAAAAAAGATTTTTATTTTAAAAGTTTTAGTAAATTAAAGAATATAAAGATTTATTATATAAAATAAAGTAAAATATTTATTTTATTAAGTTATTTATCTAATTATATATATCTGAAATTATATTGTTATTAAAAATATAAAAATAATAAAGAATTAGAAGTATATTATAGTTATTATAAGATTATAAGTTAAGTAATTTTTTTTAAATATTCTATTATCTATTTTATATAAAGTTAATAAATAAGATATATAAAAAAAAGTTTATTTATATTTAACTTAATAATTAATTATTATATAATAATATGATATAGCTATAGTATATGATACAATTCTTAATTATTACTAAATTAGATAAAGAAGAAATTAATATTAATTAATTTGATTTATTTTTAATTTTATTATTAATCTATCTTATTATCTATATTTAGTCTTATTCATTTATTTATTTAATTATATGTGTTATATTTAATTAATAATTTTATTAAATTAATAATTTTCTAATTAATTATTACTAGTTTTTTTTTCTTTTATTATAATTTCTTTAATATTTCATTAATTTCAATTTTTAATTACTTTATATTTAATTTAAAAATATTTTTTATAATAATTTTTCTAAAATTCTACTTATTCTTAAGTAAATTAGATAGAATATTATATTAAAAATAATTTTTAATTGGTATAACAAGAAAATATTATATATAAAAAATTAAGAAAAATAATTAAGTTTGATAAAAAGTAATTAATTATTAAGTTAAGAATAATTAACTAGTATTTTCTTATAATAAATACATATATTTTATTATATATCTTATTTTTATTTTCTTTTTTGCTCTATTAAAAAAGTATTTTATTAGAAGTAAAACTTATTTAAATTAGCTTATTAAGAAGATAATTAATTATTATAATCTTTAAAAAGTTATAAAAATAAATAATTATTATAAATATAGTTATTATTATTATTTTAAAATATTTATATATATAAATTTAAAATAATAATAGTTTTTTTAATATTTTTTTTATGGATATCAAATTAAGATTTAAAGTTATATTAGATAATTTAATTCAAATTAAATCTAATTAAATTAATTAATATCAAAATAAAAAGATAATTTTAGAGATTAATTAATACTTTAAATATATCTTATTTAATTAAATCTTAAGTAAAGAAATTATATCATTTAGTTAATAATTTATTTATAATAAAAAAGATATCTTAATAAATAAGTATTAATTATAATTATAGTTATAGAAATATTCATTTCACAATTCAAATTAAATAGCTAATTTTATTTATAATTTATATAAAAAAAATTATAATATTTAATTAATAAAGATCAAACTATACTTTAATAATTAAGAATTAATACTTTAATTAGTATTCTAATTAGAATTTTTATTTCAAATTCATCTTCATCAACTTTAATTTTAATATTCAATATTTTTTTCATTAATTTTCTAAATAAAAAAAGTATAATTTTAGTTTAATCAAGAAATATAAAAAAAGAAGAATCAAAAAAAGAAAAAGAATAAAAAAAAAGAAGTTTAAGTTCTTATAATTTCAAATTTATTTTAACTATCATCTTAAAAAAGTTAAGAAAAAATAGCTAAAAATACTATATAATAATTAATTCTTACTTTAAGTTTATTAATAATAATAATAATAATAGCTTAATAAAATAGATAAGTCAAGTTATTTATAATATTTCTCTTTACTTATAATAAAGAAGTACATAAAGATTCAATTAATTAGATTAAAGAATTTAAATAATTTACTAATACTAATAATATTACTAATGCAAAAAAAATAAAAATAGTATCTACTTACTTAAGAAAATTTATTGCTATTTAATTTTAATAAAACAAAATTATAAATAATAATTAGTTAATGAGCTGGAATATTAATAAAGAAAATAACTTATTCTATAATTTCTTTATCATTTAGTTTAAAATAAATATATAAGTTTTAGCTTGATAATAATAATTATAATTAAGAATGCAAGAAGTAAATAAGAATATAATCTTATATATAGAAGATATTTATATATTACTTAGAAAAATTAATTCTATACATATATATTTAAATACTTATTATATTAAGTAATTCATAAAAAACTTAAAATTTGAAATTATCTTTCATATAAATAAATCTAATTCTGATAATTTCAATATAATAATTATAAAAGTAATTAATACTGAGTTTAGTTATAAATAAATATATTAAAATTTTATAAATTCTATATTCTTTATATTATAAAATCTTGATATTCTATTTAATATCTCAAATTTAATAATAAATATGAACAAAGTTATAAATGATTTAATTAAGTAAGTAAAAAAGTTATTTGCTCAGAATAATTAAAATTTTAATAATTATCTTAATAATAATAAAACTTATTATAATTATGAAAAAAATAAATATATAGCTTATAATTATAAACTATTAAAGAAAAATATTAATAATAATAATATATTAAATATAAAATATTTCAAATATAATAAAATAAGATACTATATAAATAGTTATAGTGATAATTAAAAATAATGCAATGCTTAAATTTTTTACTAATTATAATTAGTAAAAAATTTAAGTGTTACATTATTTTTAATTGTTACTATATATTAAAAAAAATATGAATAATAAATAATACTAATATCATTATTATAATTTCAAATAATAATCTTCTTTATAATAATTATAATAATTGCTTGATAAATAAATTATTAGTCTTTATCTATTACTACTTTTACTAATAATAATAATAATATATATTTAAACTAGAATTATATCTAAAGAAGATTAGAATATAAGTTTTTCTTAAAAGTCTTTAATCATATTTTTATAACAATTACTAAATAAAATTATAAAAGAGAATAAAAATCTAGAAAAGAAGAATAAAAAAGTAGTAAATATTAATATATTATAAAAAAATGATAGAAAATTAATCTATATGAATTATAATTAATAGTAAATTAGTTAATAATATTATATTAATTAAATTCTAAAGCAAATAAATAAAAAAATTAATAGACTATTTAATATTGATTTTATAGATATAAATAAAAAATCAAAATGATTACTAAAAGAAGTAAAAAAGTTAAAAATAAAAAATAAAAATTCAAATCAATAAATAAAAACTTTAATAATAAAAAAAGCTGAATATAAATTATTACTTAATAATTAATAGATAAGCAATTAAAAGTTATTTTAAATTAAAATAATAAACTTCTTAAATTTAAAGTAGAAAAAGAATAAATAGTTATTCTAATTATCTATATATAATAGAGATTGATAATGAAATTAATTAGTTTCAAAAGAGAACTAAAAATACTTGTTTTTAATAAAGATAATAAATTTAAATATGAAAAAGAAAAATTAATTGACTAGTTATTATATATAATATATAAAAAATAAAGTAAGTAACTTATAATAAAAATAAAAGTTCAGAATAACTTGATAAAAATTAATAATAAAGTTATCAAATTAGAAAAGAAAGAAAGAATTTGATAAGAAAGACTAAAAGCTTATAATATTTATATTCATAATAAAAAAGAATATAAATATTTTTGATATAAAATAAAAT